AATACTTTTCATATATACCCAGGCTTTCTTCAAAAGTTGTCAATAAATTGTAATTTAAGATTATACATCTCTGTAATATTCAAGTTAACTATACAAGTAGTCCTCAACTTACAACCGTTCATTTAGTGATCGTTCAGATGGCACTGAAAAAAATAACTTACGACTGGTTTTCTCACAACTGTTGCAGCATCCCCATGATCATGTATCAGAATTTGAGCACTTGGTAAGTGGCATGTATTTATGACAATTGCATTGTATTGGAGTCATGCAATCACCACCTTCCCAGCTGGCTTCTCATAAGCAAAATTAACGGGAGAAGCTAGATTCACTCAACAACCAGATGATTCATTTAACAGTTGCAGTGATTCGCTTAACAGCTGTTGTTGTAAAATGAGGTAAAACTCACTTAACAACTGCCTTGCTTTGCAGTTGAATGTTTGGGTTCAATTATGGTTGTAAGTCAAGAACTACCTGTATTTAATTAATGTACGTTAAATAAAATTTGCTCTTTATGCTACTTTTACCTGTTCCATTATCCTGATTCTACCTGTGTTTAAAGGACAGCTTCCAAAGGGCAACTGTAGTTCTTCGCCTGAAAAAAAATGTACATCTTTGAGGAAGAGCTTTCCATGGAATAAACAAACTAGGAACAGACCGAGAGTATGATGTGATGATTTATACACCAACTTAAAACTATGATTTGAAATTGTGATTACTTATGGCCTCACATAGTCAGTCTTGATTTAGCATAAATCATGAGTCAGTTCACTAGAATAAGCAGTATAAAAAAATTAAATCTAGTTTCAGATATTTGCGGATTAAACCACAAGGAAAGGGAAAAGATAATTGAATTCATTATTATTCTTAAAAGTTTTCTATCTAGATTCTTTTTACTGGTGGGCAAGGTTTAAATTTCTACAACTGCTTTTCATTGTTTGAAAGAAATAAAACTTCTAATATTCCTAGCTGCACTCTTATACAACCAAAGGATTGGTCAGAAGGAAAATTCTGAAAGTTTCTCTTGTAATCAATCATTCAATGCAACGAGAAAGTCACATTTACATTTTAAAACCAGATAGAGTGTTGTAGAAATTTAAAGCATTGCTGGTTCTCTATCAACTATGTGCTCTATGGCAATTTAGACTGAATAAAAAAAGAGAACATAGTGTAAATTAACTACATAAAAATAAATAATAGCTCTGTACTGTGAAACCAATGAGCTCCATTAGTTATATATTTTAAAAAATATTTTCCTTTATTTTTTTTACTTTGTTTCATTTTTTTCTCTCTCTTACCGTGCATGATAAACAAGAGCTGCTGTGCCTGCAAAATTATTTAAAATTGCTTTGAGTAATTCTGCTTTTTTGGCTTTTTTGTACCTAATCAGAATTGATGTGACTGAAGTGCAAGTCTTCATAATAACCATGCATTTACTGGCAGCGATTGGAGGACCTACATTTTGGCAAACTATGGTAATTTTGTCTATCTCTGTATCTTATATCTTTTAGTCTTCTATTCTAGAGAAATTAATTCCCTTATATATTTATATTATTCTTATTTTTGTTGGAAAGATTTTATCATTTCCAACAGAATAAATGTCTATTGTCTTAAATTATATTTTGATAACATTCTGCAAGTATTTCAACAGTTCTTAACATAAAATGCTGTCATTCAGTCAAAATCTCTTCCATAAGAAATAATTTTGACTGTTATCTAAACAGGTTACTAATACACTGGATAATTCAGTAGCATAAATTAGTAAACTGCAGGCGCTTAAATTGAAAAGCGGTAGACTGGTAGAGCTGTGCATCATTTGAAGGTGACTATGCATCACTTCAGTTAGCCATGGTTCAGCAGAAACAAAACTAGAGTATTTTGATTGTTCTAGTTATTAGGTGAATCAAAATCTGGACAGATCCCTGAGTGTTTGATGGGTAAGTATGGCAAGGGCTGCCCCCCTTTCGCTCTTTTTCTTTCCAGTAGCCTTCAGTGAGACATATCTTACCAGCTTCACCTCCAGTCTCTACCACCTGTCTTCACACTCATTGGCCACTGCTAACGTTCTTAGTTTTTTCTTAACTCCACTCCCAACCAATCACGATTTGTAACTAAAGCAAAAAGGGCCCATTTTGTTCCAAAAACTACTTGAAACATGTATGTTTGGCTCAAGCATGGAACACCTGAAACTAGCTGTTCTGTTCAGTGTATGCATGGAATGTTATGTACATCCTTAGATAGCACCTTTCCGAACTTGCTGTTCTGAATATTGAGGCAACGTGTGAGGCTCTTTCCCAGTCTTTGGGGGGAAAGACCTGCAAAGTAACCCTGCCAAACATTGAAGAGACATGCCTGTCTCGACACTCAGCAATGGATTTAGAGGGACAGCTTCCAAAGAATCTCCAATTGGCATGCATAAATCTACTAATGTAAGTCTTATACTATAAATGCAGTTCAAACAATGATAAAAAAATAATTAACAAGATAATTTGGCTGCCATAGATGCTTGAGCATGTTTTATCTGTAACAATTGTTTGTTCCATATGTTGTTGTAAGTTATCTAAAATTGAAAATGAATAATTGGTGGATCTTATAAAATGTATTTTACAGTAAAAGCAAATAAAACAAATTATTTTAAAACTTGCATAAATGATCATTTCAAACAATATTTCTTTCATTTGGTACCCTTAGCTACTTAAATTGTTTTTTATATTGGGTAAAAAAGGCATAGTGCTAGGTGTACTAAATAAAGAGAAATACTGTATATATCAGTATATATACTCAAACGTTCTACTTTTCTTTCTGTATCACTTTATGTTTACATGATAGTTTCACAAAACTTGTTCTAATGGTACTATTGCAGTATTTGGTCCAAAAGTTAAAAGAGAAGCAAATTGAATAGGGCAGAGAGGAATGAGGATAGCAGCCTTCTTTATTACATTTCATGCCACTGTAGTCCTAGAATATTCTTAAAGAGGTTTACAATATATTGTTGTGGCCTCCCTTCTGTTTTGTTCATCTTAACACATGTGTGATTCTGTACAAATAAAGTCTATAGGCTCTAATGGAAACATTTCTTCACATGACATTACTTAGTCTATAAAGACTAAATGCATGTTTTGTGTGTAGAAAGGCATAGGTTAGTTATCTTCAGACTGGTCTAAAATTCCACAGAGCCATTGCTAATATTACTGTACTGTGACATAAAGCAATATTCTTGTTCTTGTGAAATTAACAATAATTGGATAATGTAAAGGATTATAGGTGAAGCAATTATTATTATTATTATCCATTAATCATCATGTTTACAAGTAATATAGTTCTGACTATCTTCTGTGATTTCAGGCAGCTATTTTCCCTGAACATATGCAGTCAATTATTTTCATTATGCCATTTCTTACTTCAAGGACAATATCTATTATAACTTAATTAAATCTTGGTTCCTGATTATGCCAAAATAGGCATTCAAATGTTTGGTCCTTCTATTCAGTTATTATTTGTTTTTTTGTAGGAAATAATAGTCATGTAGGTCTATTATTTCAATCATTATAAATAAAATTCTGAAAGGTAATTTACTCCAAGGGTTTTCTTAAACCCCTGTTCCAAAAAATTCCTGGATACAGATTTAGAAAAGCGGAATGTATTGAGTTCATTTAAATCTAAAATAAAATTAACATGAAATATTTAAACTTTTAATATTTTTCCTTTCTTGTTAAGGTTCCAGTGTTAAACATTCACATGAAAATACTTCCAGCTATTTGTACAGTAGCAGGAACCATATTCTCTTGTACAAACTACTTTGGTGTGATCTTCACAGGTGGAGTTGGCAAAAATGGATCAACCATAGCAGTAGGTGTTTTTCTGTTTTCTTTTGTATTTTTAGTATACATTGTTCTTCTATTTTCTCTTCTGTGTAATCCTTCCTTCCTGTCTGCCTGCCTGCCTTCCTGCCTTTTTCCAAAGGCTCATAGGGGCTATCAAAACACTCTCAGTAAAAAGTAACTCATTAAAATAATAAATTCTCAACAGCATCATAACAGATTTTTAAAAATTCAAAATTCTGTGTTTTCCAATGCATCCGAACATTCAAAGCATGTCCTTCTCCTGTTCTGTCCCAGCCTACGCGAATACTGCTCAACCGCTTACTCATGAGGAAAAACCCCTTTGCATTGAACAAGGCAGGACTTGGTAAGATAAACCCCTTTTATTTTTACACAGCTTTTATGGAACAAAACTCCAACCAGCTATTGAATAGCTATTTAGCTATTGAAACAAACAAGATTTACGTCTCTGAGTTCTCGGCTGGAATGCTCAAGGTTTAAGTCACTCAAACACACATAAAGCCGACAAACCTGGTTAAATATCCAAAAATCCTGAGGCAAGAAATTCAATGACAGAAGCACAAAGCTGTAGCATGAATGTTTGCCTTTGGCAACCAGCCCCTCCCACGCCCTCTCCTCTTTATAATCCAGCCAGGGCGTGGCTTCTTAGAGTCTTTTACTTTTCCTGGAGAGCCGCCCCACCATCCTCCGTTGGCCTGCACACCTTTCCTCCCTGCGCATCCGTGCATCTGGAACAGGCCCTAGCTGCTCTTCATCTTCACTCAGTTCAGGCCCCCAACCTAGCTGTCTCTCTGCCTGAGAATGAGTAGATGGGCCCTGTGTTACATCTAGCTCTGAGTCTTCGTGCTCCTTAGAGCCTTCCACAGACTCCGATGTGACCCCAGGCAACCCTTCCCCTCATCCGATTCATCTGACTCGGCTGCTGGATCTGCTGGCCAGGTGAGGACTCACAACACTATCCCTCACCGCAGGACCCTTCCCCCGGGTCTGACGGGCCGGATGCAGCTGTGAAGGGAATTGTTTGTGGAATGCCGTCACCAACGCAGGAGCATGTGCAGTGGTCGCGTCCTCCCAGGTGAACTCCTCCAGTCCATAGCCCTTCCACTCAATCAATATTGGAATTGGCCTTTCAACCAACAGGAATCTCGAATATTGGCGACCTCATACTCCAGAGCACTGTCTCCATCCCACTGTTCCGGTGAGGGACATTCTGATTGGCAGAGCGGACACGCCGGTTGTTTTGGGACCAAGAGGGACCGGTGAAAGACCGGATGTACCTGTAACAAATGTGGCAATGTTAACCGATAAGCGACTGGATTAATGATGGCTTTAATAGGGAAAAGGCCTAGGTACCAGTGGTCCAGTTTCTTGGCAGGCCGGTCTGACAGAAGGTGCCTGGTTGACAGCCATACCCAATCTCCCACAGCTAATGCAGGCGTATCTCGCCATGACTGATCGGAAACTTTCTTATAATCTGCCTTGGCCTTATCTAATTGCTGCCGCACCAATTGATGGATAGTCTTCGTGTTCCTCAGAGCCTTCCACAGACTCCGATGTGACCCCAGGCAACCCTTCCCCCTCATCTGATTCATCTGACTTGGCTGCTGGATCTGCTGGCAGGCGAGGACTCACAACATCTCCTGGATTAGATGAGAAACCAAACTTCAGACAGAAGAGGTAGACTAGATCTCTATGGTCAGGCATAGGGTTTGTAATAAAAAAATATCCATTTCCTAGTTTCCTAGTTCCTAGTTCTCATCAGATGGCATTCTCAGATAGACAGGATCTGAAGCAAAATTACTTTGATCAATCTGATTTTATATGATTTAAAATAAAATAATCTTATTTTAGAAATTTTGAAAGCTAATTAATAAGAACTTCCACTACATTACCAAGTAAAAGGTAAGAATATTGAAATAAAAATTTCAACATAATAAAGTGACTAAGAAAAGATATTTTTTTGCATCTGGTTCTGCAGGTGCATCATTTTCTATTGCAAATTTCAAACTGTCTTATAATAGTTTTTATACATTTTCATAAGGTAAAACATTCCAATCAGATTAAAGGAAACAGCAGTTTTTGTTTGTCCACACTTCTTAGGCTACTTCAGCACCATTGATGATTTTCTAAAAAATAAACTAAGACCAGTTGTCTTGGGAGCAGATTTTGTATTAATTTAGATGAGTGTTTAATGGATACAATGGTGCTTAAAGATTTGTGAACCCTTTTAAATGTTCAGTGTTTTGCATGTATGACCTAAAATGTTATCTGTTCTCCACACAAATCCTGAAACTAGATCACCCAGTTAAACAAATGAGTAAAAAATGCACATGTTCATTTACTTAATTAGAAAGATGATTGAAAACTATATATTTGTGTTTGGCAAAATGTGTAAACCTCTAGGATTATCAGATCATTTGAAGGGGAAACGAGAGTCAGGCATTTCAGTCAATGGAAAGATAATCAGGTGTGAGTGTAGGAAGTCCTGCCTTATTTAAAGAAAAGAAAATTCTGGGTACCAGTATCAAAGTCTCATCTTCACAACATGGCTCAAACAAAGAAGATCTCTGGAGATCTCTGAAAAACAATTGTTGATGCTCACCAGGCTGAAAAAGGTAACAAAATTATTCCCAAAGAGCTTGGACTCTCCAGTCCATTATCAGGTAGATTGGATAGAAATAGAGGTAATTCACACTTTGTTACTCTTTTCAAGACTGGACAAACAACCAAGATCACACCAAGAGCAAAGTGTGTAATACTCTGGGAGGCCTCAAAGAACCCAAGAGTGACATCTAAGGAACTAAAGCCCTCCCTTGCATTGGTGAATATGAGAATACTAAACAATGGTGTACATAGCAGGATTCTAAGGACAAAGCCATTAGTCTCTAAAAAGAACATTGCTGCCCATCTAAAAATTGTGAAAGGCCACATTGATAAGCCAGAAGGCTATTGGAACAATGTTCTGTGGACAGATGAGATCAAAATAGAACTTTTTAGCTTAAATGAAATGCGTTATGTTTGGCAAAAAGGCAAAGCTTTCATTCCAACATAAAAACCTTATCCTATCTGTGAAAGATGGTGGTGGTCATATCATGATTGAGCCCTGCTTTGCTGCCTCTGAACCAGGATGGCTCCATTATTTATGAAAGTCTGAATTGTACTAGCAAATTCTACAGGAAAATAAGGGTATTTATCCATAAATTCATGACCAAGAGAAAGTCGGTCATGCAACAAGATAATAATCCAAAACATAGAAATTGTACAATCAAAGAATGGTTAAAGCAAAAAGAAGTCAGCGTTTTGGAGGGAAACGCACCAGCATCCCTGAGTTGACACTGTTCTATGTGGAGGTTTGGGCTAAAATACTTCCACACTGATGTGCAGGACTGATCAACAGTTATTGGAAACATTTAGTTGCAATTATTGTTGCCCAAGGAGGGCACACCAGTTACTTAAAGCAAGTTTACATAGTTTTACCATACACAAATATGTAGCTTTGCATGATTTTCATCAATAAATAAGTGAACAAGTATAGCATTTTGGCTGATTTGTTCACTTGTGTACTCTTTAAGTTTTAATTTAATTTAATTTAATAATTTAATTTATATACCGCCCTTCTCCCGTAGGACTCAGGGCGGTGCACAGCATATTAAAACAGACAAACAAAATACATCAAAGAACAAAAAACCCCCATAAAACCAAATTAAAAGCCAAATATTCGAAGCTGTGTGTCAATTAAAATTTTCTTAAAATCATCCCTACCTAAAATC